GTGATAACCTGGGCTTGCCACTGGTATCTGAAGTGGGAGTGGGGGGGGGGGGCGCAGACTTGTGGGACTGAGCCCTTACCTGTGGGATCTGACATTATCTTCAGGTAGATAGTGTCAGAATTGAGTTAAATTGTAGGCTACACAGCTGGTGTCAGAGACTTGCTTGTTGTTGTGAGGAAAACCCCCTGCACATCCAGAAGTGTCGCAAGTGAAGTGTTCTGTGTGAGAGTAAAGAAAGATTCACAGGTGGAAAGCTGAGTTTTTCCTTTACATCAGTCTACCCTCAAGTAATATTACATCACTTCACAGATAATATTAAGAACTGTACAACAGTTTTATTTCACTTTGAGATTTTTTTGTTGCCAGTAGGTAAAAATATAGTTGATTTTTGTATATTTCACTTATGTCCTATTTTGTAGATTTCTTATGGTTTTCTACATGGATGATCATGTCTGCCTGGAAGAAAGAGTTTTACTTCATCTTTTCCAATCTTTATGCCTTTAATTTTTTTTTCCTAACTTACTGCATAGGCTAGGACCCCCAGCATAGTGCTCACAGTGAGAGAGGACATCTTTGCCTTAGCATTTAGTCTTTCACCATTACATTAGCTGTAGATTCCTCATAGATGCTTTTTATTTCTACATATTTCTATTCCTGGTTTTCTCAGAGTTTTTATCTTGAATGAGTATTGAAGTTTGTCTAATACTTTTTCTGAATCTGTTGAGATGATATGATTTTTCTCCTTTATTCTATGAATATGTTATGTTATCATATGCATTGAGTTTTGGTTATTAATCCAACTGTGCATTACTCTTATAAACCCATTTTGTCATGATATTTATCCTTTTTTTAAATCTTGCTGTATTCATTTTAATAATATTTTCTTAAGATTTTTTGTGTCTGTGTTCATGAAGGATATTGATCTGTAGTTTTCTTATGATGTCTCTGCCTGGCCTTTCTCATCACACATGTAACTGTCTAGTATTTTAGTTCCACTTTTAACTACTCAAATTGGACATTATATTATAGTATTTTATAGTCATTGTTTAGAGTTCCTCACATTTTTACCAACTTCTTTACCCACCATACGTTGTTACATCTCAGTTCTTCCCTTTGCCACCATTTTCCTTCTTTCTGGAGTACATCCTTGACTAGTTCTTGTGTTGAGGTCTTTTGGTGGTAAGTACTCTCTATTTTTTGTTTGAATGTCTCTCTGTCTTTGAATTGTTTAGACAGGCATACTATTCAAGGCTAACAGTTTTTTTCTCTTAGCACTTTGAAGATGATGTTTCACTGTCTTCTGGACTCCATTGTTGCTGTTGAGTCTGTTTTTTAATAATTATTCGTATTTAGTTATTTGTGTTTCTTCTCTGACTTATTAATCTCTTCTTACTGTCTTTGAGGTTTTACTGTTTCACTACAAGGTGTATATTTCTTTTCATTAATCTTGTTCAAAGCTTGTGTTGAGGATACAGGTCTTTCATCAATTTTGCATGATTTTTAGCCCTTACCTCTGGAGATATTGCCTTCCCATACCCTCTCTTTTTTTTCCTTCTGGAATCCCAATTAGATGTAGGTTGGACATTCATATTCTATCCTTTGTGACTCTTAACTTCTCTTTCATATTTTTTATCTTTTCATCTCTCTTTGTTGCACAGATCTGTCATCTAGTTCAATAATTTTCTTTCAGCTGTGACTAATCTGCTATTTAATCCACCCACTGATATTTGAAATTCTTTTGATTCTTTTTCATTTCTATCTGACTGTTTCTGATGGTAGCTTACTCTTATGTTTCAATTTCCTTTTATATTTCTTAAAAAATTTTAAGCATATTTCTTTTATGTTCTGGGTCTGTTCAATCTAAATGAAATACTTGGGTGTGAGTGAGGGATCATCCAATTCTATTAGTGCTTTTTTTTAGTTATTTCTTCTTCATGGGACCTATTTTCCTGTAATTTCTACTTATGAGCTATGTGCTGATCCTAATATGTGTGAATGCTGAGGGATCTGGGTGAGACTGTGTTCCACAGGTGGGGCCTGGAGTGCTGCTAACATGGAAGCACTTCAGATAAACTGCCTGGCATGGAGCTTCCTTTGAGTGGAAAGAGAGAATAAATTCAAACTCTCATGCTGAAGAGGGCAGGCTTGTGATTACAGATTCTTAGGAAAGGTTCTTCCTTTTTATTCACTCCAATCAATGCCTGAGATCAGACACAGTTCCTTGTCAGTTCCATTTGCCAGCAAATCGATTTTTCCCTAGTTTACACTTTTGCTGAGGGTTAGGTCTTCAGGGGTTCTGGCTTTTGCAGGGGGTATCAGTTCCAGCCTCCCACCTCATCTGGCTTGAAGCCTTATCCTTGTTAACTCTGCTCAGCTCAAAAACCAAGGTTCTAGGTGTTGGTCAGATAGTCCCAAGGTAGCCTATAGCTCCAGGGCTGGCTTCTATTCTAGTTTGGCAATATTCTTTTTGTTTTTGGCTCCTGTAGATTTTCTTTACTTTCTAGATATCAGCTATGCATTTAAAAGGATGTTTTATGTATCTTAGCATTTTTAGGTGTTTAGAGAGGAAGGTTTTTCAGACTAGCTAGACTATTATACTGTTGGTAGTTGAAGCCTCGTATTTTGTTTCTATCTGAAGTCTAGTTAAGTGTTGATAATCTGATTCTTGGGATATTTTGGTTCTTAAGTCAAGAAACATAAAACTTATTAATAATGATGTTACATAACATAACTCAAGCTTAATACATTGGTTTATTAAAAGGCGTGGGTACAAGCACTGTATACTGATGTTCAGACTTCCAGCCCATCTGAGTGATGATTTTTGTTTTGAAGCCATTCATTCAGAAAAATTATATAGCCATTTTATTTTTTTTTATTTTTTATTTTTTGTGAGGAAGATCAGCCCTGAGCTAACATCCATGCCAATCCTCCGCTTTTTGCTGAGGAGGACCGGTCCTGAGCTAACATCTATTGCCAATCCTCCTCCTTTTTTTCCCTTTTTCTCCCCAAATCCCCAGTAGATAGTTGTATGTCATAGTCGTACATCCTTCTAGTTGCTGTACGTGGGACGCGGCCTCAGCATGGCTGGACAAGTGGTGTGTCGGTGCGCGCCTGGGATCTGAACCCAGGCCACCAGTAGCAGAGCGCGTGCACTTAACCGCTAAGCCACGGGGCCAGCCCTACGTAGCCATTTTAAATTTGTGCTGTGAAATGGCAAGATCTCCAAGAAATGATTTTGATTCCTGATGTGGTGGTGGTTTTTATAATTACAATTTCCCAGGGAAAATATTCTTTTTTCAACATCCTGCTGCCACGTCAAGATTATACATATCTAAAACATGTGATATCACTCTCTTTCCTCAAAGCAGCGCCCATGGATTCTGCTAATGGAACCATCACTTTCGTGTTTCTTCCTCTCCACAGGCTTAGCAAGCCTTCCATCTGCAAGGCCTGTGGTTCACTCACAAGAGGAAGCACAGGGCAGCGAGGCAGAGCGGGGCCTCTGGAGAGAGGCACACTTGAGTGTGAATCCGAACTCTTGACTCTCTAGCTATGCAACCTTACACAATCACCTAACCTTTGTAAAATGAGGGCAGCTGCGCACCTGCCTTCATGGTCGTTTGAGAATTCAAGGAGATAATGCACGTAAAGTGCTTAACAACTTGCTTGGTGCAGGGAAAGGCTCAATAAAGGAGAGCTGCTGTGCTTTCGTTGCTGCTGTCATCGTTCTAACCAGGTCTTAATAGAATCTTCTTTCTTCAACAGTGTTTACTGCCTTCGTGCCCGTTCTGTTTGCCAATTCTCTGGACTAGGCCCGTACTACCTCTGGGCTGAATTATTGCAATAGGCTCCCAGCTGGTCGTCCTGCTTGGCCCCGCCCCTTCCTGCTCCTAATTGGGGTTATCAGAAACACCTTTGACTGATACACTGGCAAAATCAGGAATCTTCAGGGGCTCTCCTTTTCTTTCCTACAGCTTAAGATCCAAATCCCTTACCCTATATCACGATCTGGCACCAGATGCATTTATAGCCCATGAGAATACCCTGAAAGCTGTAAAAAAGTACCAGATGAAAGTGAGCTCCGTCGTTACCACCTCCACTGGCCGTGGGCAGCTTTTCATGTGCTGTCTCATTGCTACAGCTCAGCTTTAAGAGGGCAGGCGTGCAACCTACTTGAGTTTATATTGCTATAGCAGCTCTCTCGGTACCCTGAGGGTGGAAGGTATTCTTACATATTTGACAGATTGATTACCATCTAAGTTACTACATCAGAGAACAAAATGGGTTATTGGAGATCTTGGCATATATCTTAGCAAGGTCAAAACGGTTTTAATTTTTCTGAATGAATGGTTTCAAAATAAAAAGTGATCACTCAGATGGGCTGGAAGCCTGAATATCTTTATGCAGTGCTTGTACATGTCTTTTTAATAAACCAATGTATTAAGCTTGAGTTAATGTTATATAGTATGATTATTGATCTAAGAACCAAAACACGCCAGGAATCAGTTTATAAAGCACTTCCAGGTGTATTTGATCCCTGCATCAAGCCTGTGTGATGGCCTGTGTAGGCCATCGACTGCAGTGGTTGAATGACTTGTCTGCCTTGAGAGAGAAGAAAGCAGAGCTTGGGTCTGGGATAGCTCTTCTTACTTCAGGCTCCTGACTTTGGGGGGAAATACCTCTCTTGTCCAAGCTCCTTAGTACTCTTTTGACAGAAGCTCAGTATATTTATACTTGATCCATCAGCATTGCCTTCATCAGAAATGAGGGTTTTTATTTCGTCGTTTCAAAGATTAAAAACCTAGAAAGGAAAAGGAGGGTTTTTAACAGATTTATGTATCTTTCCGAGTTGTACACATTTCCAATCGGGAGTATGTATAGGCTGCAGCCCGTTGAAGTTTTTCACTCCAACGGTACTGCCTTCCTCGTTTTACATTGTAAACGCGGGCCTGGCCACAGGCCAGTCAGGTCAGTTTGTTTTTGAATCTTGCCTCTTTTAGGGGAAGGCAGAAGCCATCACGGTGGTGAAGCTGCTGAGCTGCTTTGATGACCTCGTGGCTGCTGGCACAGCCTCTGGGAGGGTGGCAGTCTTTCAACTTGTCTCTTCATTGCCAGGGAGAAATAAGCAGGTACGTGCTAACCGCTTTAGCATTTCTTAACTTCTTGGCAAATTCCTTGTGGGTCTTAAAATGAGAAATCCTCATCTGCCTAGAAAATATACGCTCAGAAAAGCTGAACACTGTGCTCTTCATAATCAGATAACAGTTTTGTTCCTGGTAGGACGCTTGGCAAAAAGCACAGGTGAGTAATTTAGATTTTCCTTCATATTCTCTGGCTGTGCTGCGTGTGTTTTGAAGGTAAATAGACAGATGGAACCTTGTGCAGGATTCTGCATGGAACACAAGGTTGGGAAACCAGCTCCTCCATAAATAGGAGGGATTGTGTACACCTGGTCCACATAGCCCATCTCTCAGTGTTTCTCATTTCTTTTTTCTGTGTGTATTTTTGTCGTTTATTCATAGCTTCGGAGATTTGATGTCACTGGTATTCACAAAAATAGCATAACAGCTCTGGCTTGGAGCCCCAATGGAATGAAATTGTTCTCTGGAGATGACAAAGGGAAAATTGTATATTCTTCTCTGGATCTAGACCAGGTAAAATTATTTTCAGAAATTGTAGGCCTTCTTATATTTGGAGAAATTTATTCATAATTGTATTTTTAGTCAGCTTCTCGATCATTGTTCCTTTATAATCTCAATTGTTACTTGTAACATTTTCTCTCAAGGACTTTTCTAGTGTTTATAAGCCTCTACTTCTGTGACTAAAGAGTTGGCCCTTGTTTCTACTGGAACATTCACTTTTTTCATTCCACTGTTGTCTATTGCTACTACTTAGAAAAGAAGCCACTGTCATTCCTAATTCTTTGAAGGGTGATTCCTTTGTAGGGGTGATGTGAAGCATCTCATAATGATAACTATGGACAGAGGTCAGTGCTTTCAGTGGGTGGAGAACTGGCCCCTAGCGACACCTTGCCTGTGAGAGATGACCTTGTGTGGGAGAGGGGCAGAGGAGGAGGTTTGGTGGCAGCACAGTGCCCAGCCCTCACCCTCACATTCGTTATTTTATAGAATCCTCACAACAGTGCTCTGAGCTATGTGTTCTCTCTCCTGATCAATAGATGAAGAAACCGAGGCTTCGAGAGATCCAGTCCCTAGCCTAGGGTCGCAAGCTAATATCTGGCAGAGCTCAACTTCAAACCAAGGTTCTGCTCCAAGGCCCACACCCTTTCCACTGCCCGTGTGCCTCTGTGCCTGCCTGAGCTTTATCTTTTTCTGCCCAGCTAGACTGAACTCCTTGGTGGCACAATCCTTTCGTTTTCTTGTTTGTAGCCTTCATTCCTGGTGCATCGTAGGAATTCAGCAGTTACTAGCCGAGTGCATTTTAGTCTCTCTGATCCAAGACTGGCCTATTACAAATATTCTCGGTCAGTAATTCTCAAACTTTTTGGTCTCAGGACCCCTTTACACTTTGGAAAGAGGACCGCAAAGAGCTTTTGTTTATATGGGTTGTGTCTACTGAGTGCACTGTGTTGGAAATTAAAACTGAGAAATTTAGAAATATTTATTAATTTCATTTTGAAATAATAATAAACCCATTCTATGTTAACATAAATAACATTTTTGTGAAAATAACTATTTTCAAAACAATTGAGAAGAGTAGCATTGCTTTACATTTTTGTAAATCTCTTTACTGCCTGGCTTAATAGAAGACAGCTGGATTCTGCACTCTGTTGCAATACATTATTTTGGTTGGAGTATATAAAGAAAATCTGGCCTCACACAGACGTGTAGTTGGAAATGGGAGGAGTATTTTAATTGGCTATTCAGAGAATTGTGGACATTCTTTTTTAATCATATCCCCAAATTGACTAATGGTAGTTTTTTTAAAGGTTAGTTACAACGTGGAATCTGAAACCATATGGGTGAAATGTGTGTGCCCTGTTACAGTGAAACCCATTGGCCTCTCTTGCATGTTGAATGGCTCTTTGACTCCTGCGTGATTTTGTTAACATCGTGCATTGGTCACTTGGAAAATACTGATCCACTGAGTGATGCAGATCTTCCACATGTTGACAGATTTAATTATATAATACCAAAAAAACCCACCTTTGTTAACATCACCATCCTTCTGATCAGGAAAGTCTAGCTATTGGGAATCTGTCGCATTCACGAGCGCAGATGCAAGTTTTCAAATTGTAATCTTCACCTGAAAACTTGAAATTTTATTATCAGCAACAAATACTATCACTTGTTTTCCTTGAAGTGACAGGCTTACTTTGTTCTTTCTGAGAAAATGTCTTCCAAGTACCCAAGTTTGAATAATTATAGTATTTCAAGTAAAAATGGTGTTCTGTGAAAAAAAGCAGGTGGTTCAGCTCACAGCTCTAACAATCACACAAGTGCTTTTCCTTGAGAGAACCAGAGTACTTCAGTATGCGGCCGAAGGGCTGTGTGTGCACGCCCCATTTTGTCACACAGAATACAAAGATATGTCTACCCTAGGGTCAAGATTTAATGAAATTATAATTTTTATGCATCAAAGACATTCTGAAGTGAAACAGGTTTTTCCTGCGAGTGTGCGTTGGCGAAGGGTACTGTGACTAGTGGAGTTGGTACCCTGCTCAATTCAGGCGACTCGCGGTTCCATTGGCTCTACCCAGCACGGCTTTTGTACCATCAGTACAAATGTCAGCTCAGTGAAAAATGGCAGATAACCTAGTATTATAATGAAAATGGTTTTGACCTCACAGACCCCTTGAAAAGGGTCTTAGTGACCCTCAGGGACTGTGGATCACACTTTGACAACCGCTGCTCTGCAGGAAGTGTTCTGTTAAGGGACCCCTGTATTTATACTTCCCTGCTCCCCCTCCCCCCGGGCAGCACAGGGAGAACACTCGTCATGCACCAGCTCAGGAAATGGAGAGAAAAGCACATGCAGAAAACATTGTCCTTAGTTAGCACTCTGATCGCTTTTTCCCCACAGCTTTATTGAGGTTCCGATAATTTTTTTAAAAGATGCAAGTGTTTCGTGAGATTTGCAAAAAAAGACATAGGAGGTTGCTTCTTTTTGCAAAATACAGTACAATAAATTTAATTCCGTTACAAGCTAAGTCAAAAACTGCAAAGCTACAATCTGCATAACTGCAAATGTGGGAGGAAAATCTGCCTTAAAAGTCCTTGATGTTTTGGAGGCAATGGGAATTTCTCTATCTTGATGCATTGGTTGTATGCATTTGTCAAAATTCGTAGAATTGTATATCTAAAAAGGGTGAATTTTACAATATATAAATTTTACCAATAAATCTGATTGCTGTTCCCTCTTTCCCCCCAAAAAAGGTCTATGATGTTACATCAATATTTCTTAAATAATTGAAGAAATTAGTTCAGGAGACGAGTGACTGTATTTATAGAAGCAGGTTTTTGACACAAAGAAATTTAGTTTGTTAGCAGGAAAATGCCTTCTAGAATTTTATTTTGTTCTTTAATATATTTAATACCATTTTCATTTCTTTCTAACCTGTTTCCTCTGACCCTTTTGGATGGCAAGGATATAATGTCCCCCAAATTGCTTTGACCTCTTTGTGGGGGAAGAGTGTAATATGAACTTTGATTGTTGTCACAATAATTTTATAGAAAGTTCCATTGTGTTCTATTAGAATAAATATATGCACGGTGCAACATAGTTCTGCTTAGATCTTTATGGATTCTTCTTTCAAGTATATACTGAGAACATTTTAAAATAAATTATACAAAATTTTAAAGTGTTTCTTGTCGAACTTGATGTAGCCTGAGATAGTTGTTAACACTGACTATTTTCTCATTAGTGAGGGCTTTTCCAAATAATTTCATTGCAGTGGGTTGATACTGAATCTGATGAGAATTAACACATACATTTTAAGGTGTAAATTGACTTAAGTGCAAATAACAGGAAGGATGCTTCCCAGTCAGGAAGTCAGGTTACTGTAACTCCACGTTGAGTTGGGTTTAACTGGACTCTCTAACAGGGCGTCTGTAACTCCCATTTGGTGTTAGAAGAGCCGTCTTCAATTGTGCAGCTGGATTATAGCCAGAAAGTGCTACTTGTCTCTACTTTACAAAGAAGTCTGCTTTTTTACACTGAAGAAAAGTCTGTGAGGCAAATTGGAACACAACCAAGGAAAAGGTGAGCTTCCCAAGTGTTCCAGGTGGGTGGCTACCGAAGGGGCTTTAAGTCTTCGTAGGTTTCCTGTTTGCCATGTGCAAGCCCATAGCAGCTCTAAGCCTGGGGTTCCTGGTGGGTCCCCAGCCTGCCCAGGACGCCTCATCCCAGCATCAGATAGAGAAAGAATGCATCCCTCTGCATGTGCGGCCACTCTGCCTTGAGTGCCAAGGTCTAGAGACGCCTCTGGGGTGGTCTGTTCCGTGTCCACTCCTTGTACGGGCACCCCTCCACCACAGCCCTAGTGAGGGGTCAAGGGCGTGGAGCTCACTCCTTGATCAACCAGTGTTTGCCAAGCGCCTCTGCCCTCTGTGCACTGTGTAGGCTGTGGTAGGCTTAGGGTAACCACAAGGCACAGGTGAGCCTGTGTCATGGAAACTTCATAAACTCAGCAGAAAAGTTGTTACCATTGTGTTACCTGCTATGGAGCAGTGTGCTGTCAGAGTTTAAACAGGCTTCTAAGCCAGCCTGGGAGTGAGGGAAGACTTGCTGAAGGATTGGGGCCGGAGGGAGGAGTGGAAGTAGCCAAGAGGAGGGGAGAGGAGGGCCTGGAAGGCATGAAGGGTTCTAGGCTGAGAGATTGTCCCTCTTTTGACCTGATACCTGGAAGAAAAACAGTGAAAGGTAGGCCAAGTCCACTCACCTACCAGCCATGTGGACAAAGGCAGCAGGAGCCCGTGGTTGACGTACAATTCATAGTCCCTGCCCCGCCTGGAAAGCTGCTGGTAGAAAGAACTCTGCAGCCCATTTCTGTGGGGGTGGGGTAAGTGAGGAGGGAGGGGGAGGTAGAGTGGGGGAGTTAACCCTTATCCTGAGAAGAGAAGGAGGGGCACAGGCAGCCAAGAAGGGGGAGGAGGAGAGGATGGGCATCGGTGCAGGCAGGTTGTGGATTGGGTGGCCGGAGTTCCCAGTTGCCTACAGAGCATTAGAAGGGCAGGGTGGCAGATGGGCTTGAGAAACTCGGAGAGGGTTTGGGTGGCGTTGTGAAGAGTGGAGAGCAGGCAGTGTGGAAACGTCGTGGGATTGGCAGGCCTTGATGAGGGCCTGCTGAGGCTGGCGGTGCCGGGTCATGGGAGGAGGTCGGGTGAGGTCAGATGGGAGGAGCCAGCCTCTGGTCATGACAGCATCCATTATTCTGTGTCCTGTGCTCTGCAGCAACACAGTAGAAGTTTATTCTCTTTTCTGCGTGGCAGCCCTTAGCTAGTAAAAGACACTGTCGTGCCTCCCCTTCAGCTTCTATTTTCCATGCTGAACACTCACTTAATTCCATCAACAATTTGGCCTTTTTATAACAGTAATCTCCCTATTGGCCCCTGGAAAACTCAGCGAATTTGTAGCTTGGGCTTAGTGGTTCTGCAGGACTTGGTCTTGACTTTCCCTCTGCAGTATCCCACTCTTCTGCCTGACCTTTTGTCCTGGTTTGTCTCAGTGTCTTACCGCATTGTGTCTTTTTGGAAGGAAGGTGGACTCTAAAGAGAGAGATTTAAAAACCAATTACTGGGGGCCGGCCCGGTGGCGCAAGCGGTTAAGGGCGCGTGCTCTGCTGCGGCGGCCCAGGGTTCGCTGGCTCGGATCCCAGGTGCGCGCCGACACACTGCTTGTCAGGTCATGCTGTGGCAGCGTCCCCTATAAAGTAGAGGAAGACGGGCACAGATGTGAGCCCAGCACCAGTCTTCCTGAGCAAAAAGAGGAGGATTGGCAAATGTTAGCTCAGGGCTGATCTCACACACACACAAAAAAACCCAATTACCTTTCACGGGGACCACATACCCAACAGTCTCTCTTAAAATCTTGCCTTCTGACCTCTTGTGTGGAAACCTAAGCAACTTTCTGTGAACCTCTCCTGGTGCTTTTGTGTAGTCAGTTTTTTGGCAATGTTGATTAAAAGTGTACTCTGTGCCAGGCGCTGTTCCAGGACGCAGACACAAATGAACGTCTCGCCTTTCCCCTCTGTGGGAAGTGATGTTTGAGTTGAAGCCTAAAGTGTGAGAAGAGCTGGTGGAAGAGCGTTTTGGTCTCAGGGAACAGCAAACACCAAGGCCCAGGGTCAGGCTGGGCTTTGGAACATTCAAGGAGCTGGAAGGTGGCCGAGGTGGCTGTGGGGAACTGGGTGGGGTGCACTGTTTTGAAATGAGGTCGGAAAGGAAGGCCTGAGCCAGCCCAGGGGGTGGGGCATGCTGTCGCCCAAGTTATTCTAGGTGTCAGGGAAACCATGGAAGGGCTCTAGGCAGGAGAATAACAGTCTGAGCAATGTTTCAGAGCTCACTCGGGTTCTCTGTGTAGACTTAATTGGAGACAAGCAGGAGGGGACCAGTGTGGAGGCTACTGCACAAGTCCCAGGAACGGGCATGGAGGCTGGCACCTGGGTGGTCGTCATGAAGAAGAGAAGGGGAGGTGGAGGGAGACGTAATTTGGAGACAGAAAGGACAGGCTGGATAATGGATTGGCTATAGGAGACGGGGAAGAAAGGAATAAAAACAGATTTCTGTGCTCTTGGCTACAGCAACTGGATAGGCGTTTAACTAAGACAGGAAGCCGTTTAACTAAGACAGGAAGACGAGGTTTGAGGTCTAGACATCAGGAGTTCTGTTTTGAGCATACTGAGTTTGACACCTGTTAGGTGGCCAAGTGGGAATCACACTGAGGAGTAATGTGTACAGGTCTGGAACCCAGAAAAGAGGTCTCGGCCAGCAATGAATGTTAGGTCATCAGATGCAGGTGACATTGAGACCCCTGACACTGGATGAGTTCACCAAGGGAGAGTGTTAGTCATTCAACTTTGAAAAATCCTTACCAAGTCTCTGCTATGTGTCAGGTACCCTTGTCAATCTGGAGAGACAGCTGTGAACAAGGGAAAACAGATCTCTAATCTTAGGGGGCTCACATTCCTGTGGGGGAGACACGTTAAATACATATATTCTAGATTGTTCAGTAGTAATAAATCAGTACGGAGCTAGCAAGAAGGGAGCATGGGACATGGGGTCTGTTTTAGGGAAGGCTCCTCTGAGGTGGGGACCTGAGCATATTCCTAAAGGAGGGAGGGAAGGAGCCATGAGAAGACCTTGGAGAGAAGACCTCAAGGCAGAGGCACCACATATGCCGAGAGATTGAGGGTTTGAGGAGCAGCAAGGCCAGATGTGTGTGGAGGAGAGGAGGAGGTCAAGGGAGGCCCCCATCTTGTAGGCTTTGTGAGCCCTGCTCAGGGGGCTGCTTTATTCTAGTGCCATCAACAGTCATGAGAAGCTTTGACCGGGGAATCACTCTTGCTGCTGTTTAGAGGGAGTTAAGAGTGGCAGCTTGAGGACGCCAGCCAGGGGTTCCCAGGTGATCCAGGTGAGAGGTAGTGGAGCTCACACCAGAGTGGGGTGGTGGGAATGCTTTGAAGGCAGAGCTGACAGGTTTGCTGCCACATTGGCTCTGGGGTGTGAGAGAAATATTAGTCAGAGATTTGCATCCTGAGTAGTTGGGTAAGTGGGGATGCCATTTATTGACATAGAGAAGCCTAGGGGAGGAGATAAAACAGTCTGATGGGGACAGGTAGCATCCTCTTCCTCCAGGTGGAGAGCTGGAGTGGCAGGTGGAGGGCGAGTGTGCATCTCAGGGAAGTGATTGGGGCTGGGGCTGTGCATTTGGGAGCCGTTAGCCTTTAGACAGTATTTAAAGCTCTGGGACAGACAAGCTCACAAAGGGAATGAGTGTAATTAGAGAAGAGGGAGCCTCATCTTCTAGGCATTCCATTGTTTACCTGTCAGGAAGAGGAAGAAACATCAGAAGAGACGGGGAGTTGGAGGAGGCTCAGGGGAGTGAGGAGTTGGAGGCCACGTGGAGCAGATGTCTCGGGGGGCCATCAGCTGTCTCAGAGCTGCTGATGGGCCCCGAGAGATGGGCTGAGATGGACCTTTGGATTTGGCAACATGGGGGCCACGTGTGACCTCCCTCATGAGAACAGAACCAAGGGATTGGAGGGGCTAAAGGAGAAGGAGTGGACAATGAGTGTAGACAACTTTTTGGAGGACTTTTTTGTAAAAGGGAACACAGAACTAGGGGCTGCCTAGAGTGGATGTGTGGTCTGGTGAGTTTTCTAAAGATGGACAGTGTGGCAGCACACTGGGTGGATGGCGTGGGCCAGTGGAGAGAACAAAATAGTGGTGCAGGTCGTTGCATCCATGGAGCCCTCTAGCGGGCGACATCAGAAGACAGGTTGTCCTGAATAAGGCCAGGGATGTTCTCTCCGTGGGGAAGGAGAGTGCGGGTGCAGGTGCAGGCAGGTGGGTAGACTCGGTGGTAGAAGATGAGGTAGTCCTCTTCTGATCAAGTCTGGGAACCTCTTAAGATTGACAAAACAATATATATGGTACTCCCAGAAAATCTCAGACCCCAGCATCCCCAAAGTTGTGTTATATCTTTGTTCTCCTCTGTGTTTATGTTGTATTATTGTACGTGTCAGAACCCTCCCCATTCCTCTCGCCACGTCTCCTGCAGTCCCGTCGTCAGGGACGTCCTGTGTCAGCAGCACCTGCAAGTTGCAGTCCGTGCTGGGTGTGGAGGTGTGGGGCCCGCACCCGTCAGAGCCAGCACCATCAGGAACTGTGTCCCTGTCACGCCTGTTTGATGGCCTGAGGCATTTGGCTGTTGACATTATTGTCCGGGCTTCTTTGGCTCATTCCCCACATTCATCTTGGACTTTCATTTTCCCGTTTTGGGCTCCCTGTCAGCGCCCAGCATTTCAGCTCTGTGGCCAAGTCAGGGTTTTAGGACAACTTACACTTGGCTCTAGCTAGTTCTCCCGGTGTAACTGCCTTCTCCTGACCCAGGAGCCACAGGTTTCAGCAGTTCCTTGGAGCCGCCCACCAGGACCCTGCTCAGCACGTTCCTTTCCCCAGAATGCCTGTTCCCCTTTTCTCAACCCGGTAGTAATCCATTCAATGTCCAAGTTCTAGCCTTCTATGCCCAGTCAAAATGTGTCCCCTTGGTCTGTAGTCCTCGAGCAGCTCTGTGAGCCTCAGATACAGCACCTCCTAGATGCTGTGTGATTGTCCATGCAATGTTGTCTGCAGTGTGTTATAAGACAGGGCCAGGGTTTATTGTTTATGTTGCCACAGCACCAAATAGTGTCTTCCACAATGTAGGAACTCCCGAAATGTTCATTACAGTGACTGCTTTAGTTACCTAAGGTGAGCAAATCAAAATGGAAGTGACGGGCCGGCCTGGTGGTGTAGTGGTTAAGTTCTTGCATTCCACTTCAGCGGCCCGGGGTTTGCCGGTTTGGATCCTGGGCGTGGACCTACGCACCACTCATCAAGCCATGCGGAGGCAGCATCCCACATAGAGCAACTAGAAGGATGTATAGCTATGACGTACAACTATCTACTGGGGCTTTGGGGATAGAAAATGAAAAAGGAGGAAGGTTAGCAACAGATGTTAGCTCAGGGCCAATCTTCCTCAAAAAAAGACGACTTTAATAAAAAAAAAATGGAAGTGACAAGAGTTTTGTAAGAGGCTCTATAAATAGAAAGAAAACAGACATAAAAATTGGATCACCAAATAGAAACTGATCGACAGGAAAGGTAGGAGGAAGCGGTTATGGGCTGCCCTGCGAGAGTTTCTTTGGGTCTGTCTATGTAGAGAACCTTTCCAGAAAAAAATCCCCCAAAGGCAGTAATCAGACACGATGCTGATTACAGAGTTGTCCATGAACGATCTAAAGTATGTGTGTCAGAGCATTCTTGGTTAGTCTAACAATCCTTGTTTCAAAGCTGAATCTGATATACAATATCCTCCTTGGACCCTATCCAGAGGGATTTAGTTACTGAGGAACCAGAGGGACCTAGTCAGATAACTGACGTGCAGAGGAACGTCCAAACACCTTTATCTGCATCACTGTGTGGGCTGGGCCGTGGGGACAGCCCCTCAGGGGTTGGGTGTGCTGCTATGTGCAGTGAGGGTGAGGAGGGAGGCGTAGCACACATGATGAACACGCGATGGTGACACGGGCAGAATTAGAGGCAGCTCCCAGCTGTGAGCACCTGTAGCCTCCTGCATGGCAGTTAGGCATTTGTGGGGACTTTCAGTGTCACAAGCATTGCCTTTTGTGCCTTCATAGATGACCTCATTTAATCCTCACTTCAGCCTTTGAGGTGGGAATTACTATCCCTGGTTTACAAATTAGGAAACTGAGATCCAGAAAGGTTACACATCACATAGCTATTAAATGTCAGAGCTGAAAATTGAGCCAAAGTCTTGATCTAAAGCCAGTACTCTTTCTACTGTTCATGATCAGAGGAATATTTTGGAGAGAGAATCAGCAGGACTTAGGGTTGAACTGAAACTGTTAAAATTTGAACTCTGGTAGAAGTCAGCGAGTTGGCAAAGAACCATGAGAATGGAACCATGAGAATGCATGAATTGCTGATGACAGCAGAGATTGGTGTGATGATATGGAAAAAAGTTTGAAATTGTCTTCCAAACTTGAATATGCTCTTACTCAACAACCCAGCAATTACCCAACAACCCAACAGTTTCACTCTTGAAGTATTCTTTTTTTTTTTTTTTTTTTAAAGATTTTATTTATTTTTTGCCCCCAAAGCCCCAGTAGATAGTTGTATGTCACAGCTGCACACCCTTCTAGTTGCTGTATGTGGGACTCGGCCTCAGGCTGGACAGAGAAGTGGTGCCTCGATGCGCACCCGGGATCCGAACCCGGGCCACCAGCATCGCAGCGCGCGCACTTAACCACCAAGCCACAGGGCCGGCCCATCTTGAAGTATTCTTGACAAATTCTTACACTTGTGTGCTAGGAGGTTATGCGTAACTTCATAACACTGTTGTTCAAAATATAGTCATGTGGGATGAAGGAAACAGATTAGTAGTTCCTGGAGGGAAGGGGGTTGGGGGTGGGTGAAAGGGGTAAAGGGACACATATGTATGGTGACAGACGATAATTAGACTACTGGGGGTGAGCACAGTGAAGTCTGTGCAGAAACTGATAAACAATAATGTACACCCAAAATTACACAATGTTGTAAACCGTTATGATTCTCAATAAAATTACTGGGAAAAAAAAATAAAATAAATGAATAAATGAAAACCAAACAAAAAACCAATACTGCATTCTGTACACAATAAATATTTCTTCATTATAAAAGAAAAAAATACAGTCATGTGCTGCATAATGACCTTTTGGTTAACAACAGACCATATGTATGGGGGTGGTCCCGTAAGATTAGTACCATATAGTCAGGTGTGTAGTAGGCTGTACCATCTAGGTTTGTGTATAAGTATACTCTATGATGTTTGCACAACGACGAAATTGCCTAACGATGCATTTCTCAGAATGTAGCCCCATTGTTAAGTGACACATGACTATAGTAAAAAAAAAAAAAAAAAAAGTGGTACTAATTCAAACCATCAACAAGAGAGTGAATTAATAAATTGTGGAATACACTTTAACAGTGAAAATGAATGAGCTACAGCTTCTTTTTTATCAATAAGAATAAATCTTAGAAATGTAATTTTTTTTGTGTCTGTGAGAAAGATTAGCCCTGAGCTAACATCCGTTGCCAATCCTCCTCTTTTTTTGCTGAGGAAGACTGGCCCTGGGCTAACATCTGCACCCATCTTCCTGTACTTTATATGGGACGCCACCACAGCATGGCTTGACAAGCAGTGCATTGGTCCGCGCCCAGGATCCAAACCTGCAAACGAACCCTGGGCCGCTGCAGCGGAGCACACAAACTTAACTGCTACGCCACTGGGCTAGCTTCAGAAATATAATGTTAAAACCAAGTTGCAAAAGTATACAAATAGCATCATACTGTTTTTTTATACAAATGAAAGACAATACTAAAGTTTGTCGTCTTTAGGGATGCATAGATGTGTGGTCAAACTATCCATAAAAGCAAGGGAATGATAAACACAAAATTCAGTCTAGTGGTCACACCTGGGGACCGGAGGGGACAGGAATGTTTAGGAGCATGAGAGAGCATCAGCGATGTTGCTAGTGATTTATTCTAAGTTGAAGGATGGGTTCCTGGGTGTACATTTCATTATTACCAAGCCTGAGGACCAGAAGGGAAATTGGTGCCTCTGATGAGTTCAGAGAAATTCTGAAAGGGCTGCATCAATTCTAGACGTAAAGCCTCATTCACTGGGATGATGGAGTGAGCATGGCAATCAGGCACTAGGAACAACAGAATTTCAGAGTAGGGAGAGGATGGTCAGACCTAGGTTTATCACCTTCTGCCTCACCTTCTTTCCTCTTCTCTAAAACAGGATTTCTAATATTTGCCTCACAGAGTTGTGAGGATGAAACGAGAGTGAAGATAAAGTGCTGGGTGCAGCTCGAGCCGCAGTGATTACGCAGTAAATGGTTGCTGTGAAATCGGAACATGTGCACACTTATGAGCATGTTGTAGGAAGTGTTAAGACAGTGCCCTTGTCCTCTGTGGGCACAGGGATGATAGTGTGGTTCAATTCACAGTTAGCAAAAAAACAAACTATAGAAGAGGGTTTGAAAAAAAAATCAATCTCGTTTAGGCTCAGCCAAAAAATTCTTGTTATAGTTAATATCAGAACTTGACAACTGTATCATTTTAAATCAGTCCATGCCTGGTTTTTTCTTTTTCTTTCTTTTTTTATTCTAATTTCAGCACTGGGAAATTTGGGGCTTGTTTTATACCAGGACTTTGTAAGCAAAGCGATCTAACCCTGTACGCATCACGGCCTGGGCTCCGGCTGTGGAAGGCTGACGTCCATGGGACTGTTCAAGCCACATTTATCTTAAAGGATGTCTTTGCTGGAGGAGTCAAGCCTTTCGAACTGTACCCGCGCCTGGAGTCCTCTGACAGGGGAAGTTGCAGCTTACCCGAGAAACACCTGGGGCTTGTTTCATGTTTCTTTCAAGAAGGCTGGGTGTTGAGTTGGAATGAATACAGTATCTACCTTCTAGACACCATCAATCAGGTGAGTGAAGTGATTGCACCGCATCCTTGGTTTCTAAAATGAAGAGCATATTTACGGACTCTTCTGCTTCAGTTCTCTCAGGATAGAAGGAACAGTATCGATTCTAATGCTTCCCTTTTTCCATTGGGCCACTCAAGGAAATCAAATGGAGGTTTGGTAGTTTTGTAGATTTGAAAAAATATTTAGTTTAGATACTCATAGTCCTGTCCCCTGCCAATAAATTATGTGTGTTTTTTTGTATTTAAGCACAAAAGTAAACTTGTTCTTTTTTTTTTGTGAGGAAGATCAGCCCTGAGCTAACATCCGTGCTAATCCTCCTCTTTTTGCTGAGGAAGACCGGCCCTGAGCTAACATCTATTGCCAATCCTCCTCCTTTTTTTTTTCCCTTTTTCTCCCCAAAGCCCCAGTAGATAGTTGTATGTCATAATTGCACATCCTTCTAGTTGCTGCATGTGGGACGCGGCCTCAACATGGCCAGATAAGCGGTGTGTCGGTGCGCGCCTGGGATCCGAACCCGGGCCGCCAGCAGCGGAGCGTGCGCACTTAACTGCTAAGCCACGGGGCCGGCCCCCAAACTTGCTTTTTATAGTCTGTTTGGATGTTTTTTCTGACCAAATTAGTGTGAGCGTAATAAATGAAAACTTGAACGTGACAGAAACTGTGACACAATCCCTCCCTGAGGCTGTCCCAGGACTGCGCTACACAGGACAGGAGTCTCTTTCTCCAGCTTTCATTCTGCCCTGTTCTTTTACCCTGGTTTCCGCCACCCGAGTGGAGCCACGTTATGTTGCCGTTTGTTTTTTTCCGCTCGATGTATCTTGGCCAACTTTCCAGGATCATTAAGTCATTGTAGGAAGCAATTTCTGTTTAAATCAGGATGATACAGACTATTACCGTGGGAGTTGGATACAGTTTTCAGTTTCTCCCTGTCTTAGGAGCAGAGCTTTTGCTCTTTGGTGAATAACCTCCTGACTTCCCATTCCCACCCCAACCCTGCTCACGTTTCTCCTCCTGGAAGCCAGCAGGCCTCTGACAGACACCTTTTTCTTTCCTAAGCAGAGTTTCACTACAGAAGTTAAAGGTTTTCTGATTTGGTGTGTGTCACCAGAAAATGAAATTTGTCTGCACCTCATTGAAGCCTTTTTAATTATTATTATCAGCCATGCCTGGTAATACTGGTTTGGTAGAAAGAAAACTGACCCGAGAAGGCAGAGCCAGGGTAGACCTCCTTTTCCTGGAAGATTCTCACCTGGTTCTGCTTCTGGCCAGGAGCTTCTCGTTGCCTGGCTTGGCCTCCTCACCTGGAACATGGGGAGGGAGTGGGTTGGGTTGGGGGGGTCACCAAGGTACCTTTCAGCCTTCAGTTTGTTTCTTAAGGAACATTTTGAAAGAAACTTTTGTATTCTTCCCCAATTATAGAGAACTTAACTTTTCCTTTTCCTCTGTAGTCTTTGAACCTAATGTGCAGTTATTAATTAGCAGGGTCAAGATACTTTGTAATTGTGCATCAGTCCCTCTCTTCTGAGCACTTACCCAGGACTTTGTCCAATAGGTATAATTAACTTCATTTTATAGGTGGAGAAATGGAGACAAAGGGACTGCCCACGAGCAGATGTGGCTGCCATCAAAGTCTGAACATGGCAACATGATTGGCAGCTTTCAAATGAATGTCATGTTTCTAGCTGTTCATCAGGATTATTTAAGAATTAAGAAAGAACTTAGACCTTTCTTCTCTTCTACAATGAACTGGATTTTTATTTGCACTGTTGCCTGAAAAGCAAGAATTTTTAAAATCAGCGTCGACTCGGGATGTCCTGTGTTTTATTTGCCATCTGCTTTCGCGTGACATGAAGGGAATCCTTGGTCCCTTCATTTGTTCACTCAGAACCATGAATTGCAGTGCATGCTAGTCTCTCCCACAGGAGTACACACAGTAGGGGATCTAGACCTGTAAGCACATTATTCCAGCCCAGGAGTGACGTGCCACACGGGTTTGTATAAAGTGCTGTGAGCTATGAGGAGGCGTGGGCATTGCCAAGGAGGGCAAGCTCGTCAGGGGACACTTCCCAAGGAGGTGGCATCCGAATTGAGTTGGAACTCTCCCAGCGAGCGAGGGACAGGAAAAGAATTCGAGCAGAGGGCATGACGTTCTGGAGGAGAAGGGCTGGGGTTTGGACTGGTTGTTGGATGCACCTGAAGTAGGGAGGAGGGCAGTTGTGTGAGGCTGATGGGCAGGTCCTGCAGGGAGGATGAGCTCTTATAGGGAGGGGGGAGCAAGGCGCCGGGACAGTGCAGAGAGGGGCCTGGGTTGTGGGGGAACTGTTCGCTCAGTCATGTAAATTTACTGGCAGCTTACACGACTCCCAGTCACATATCTGTCAGATATTACCTAACTTGAGGTTGAATTACTCTAAAAAGTTTCAGAAAGTTGTCATAACAGCACAGTCATCATTTGACTCCTTTGGATTCCTACACATGTGTGTATACTTTGAACTATTACTATTGCCTGGTTTTGTGATTTTTTTTTTTTTTTTTTGGACAGGCCACAATTGCTGGTTTGGAAGGATCAGGTGATATCGTGTCTGTTTCCTGCACAGAAAATGAAATATTTTTCTTAAAGGGAGACAGAAACATTATAAGAATTTCAAGCAGGCCCGAAGGACTAGGGTCAATAGGTTTGTATCTGTTATAAATGTCCTGTGTGTATGTAATTGCAGTTTATAATTTATAAAACTTATCATTATTTTGCTAGTTAAATGATTGTAGCTTTATTTAAACAAGAAGATATATGGAGAGTTTCCTATGGTTCTTAAAATGCTATTTACAGTACTTTTCTTGAAGGTTGCCTACTTTAAGGCTTACGTCAGACAGGGTCTCACATTTGGTAGAGTTGCTTCCCTGGGTCTGGAAGATGCAGAGGTTGGGTGAGTAGGAGGGAGAACTCAGCACCCACTTGACTGATCTCTGACACTGAGACAGCATGTGGGATTAATGCTCCAAAAGACATACATTTGCATAAGATTTTAGAACATTTAAATCTGTCATCTGGGACATGTCTTTTACCCTTAACACAGTTCTTCCTTGTGGTATTGATTATTCTTTGTGCTTTGGACTTTTTTTTGTAATTCGTATAAGTCCCAATTCTAATGAGCAAAGACTCTTCATATGTATTCTCGTGTACGTACCCACGTACTTTATATATTTGAGGCTCATCAGTGAACTTGTTCCTTACGGTGACGACAACAGCAGTACGGGCCCCTCCCACCCTCCTTCTCCCCCTCCTCACTATGTTCCAGAGACTGGGCTGAGCACTTAACATTCGTGTTCTTTCTTTTCTTTTTGGTGAGGAAGATTGGCCCTGAGCTAACATCTGCCAATACTCCTCTCTTTTTGCTGAGGAAGACTGGCCCTGGGCTAACATCCGTGCGCATCTTCCTCTACTTTATATGGGACGCCGCCACAGCATGGCTTGCCAAGTGGTGTGTCAGTGCGTGCCCGGGATCTGAACCGGCAAGCCCCAGGCCACTGCAGCAGAGCATGCGCACTTAACCGCTTGTGCCACCGGGCCGTCCCCAACATTCGTGTTCTTATAAAATCCTCAGAACAACCCCATATGGAAGGTGCTGATCCTCTAGGTGAGGAAACTGAGGCTTGGCACGGTGCAGTGACTCGCCCACAGACACCACTGCTGCAATGCATGAGCAGCACACCTGGGGCAGCTGTCTGGCCCCAGAGTCCCTGCATTTGTCTGGCCTCTTAAGTTCACAGAGCAGTTTCACAGGCATCCGGTTTGACTCTCGTGACAAACCTGTGGCAAACGTGACCTGTGGGTCTCCCTGCCACCGCGTTTCCCCATCCAGGCCATCTTCCTCCCCGGGGTTGGAATGGCCTCGTCCCTTCCTTGCTCGCTGTGCTCTTCTTGCCACCATTAATGGGGTGGTGTGCAGGGCACCTCCAGTCCACTGCTGCTGGCTCCCCCGTCTCGGCTCCCACTACCACCCACTCCCCCAGCGCACTAGAGGAGTCCAGACACTACACGTATGGCTGCTCCCAAACATAGCCTGCCTTTGTTGGGGCGGTGCCCTCTCCCCCCCATGCCTCTCCCCTCCTCTGCACCCTCCCACTCGTCATTAAGATCCAGTTCAGGTGTCCCTGCATTTTTGATACTTTTCCCGAGTGCCTGAGTTAAGTCAGTCTCTCCTTCTCCTCGCTGAGTTCCTGGGGACCTTTTTTCCTACTGCTGTTCTGACTTCAGAGTCATTTACTTACCATTTACCTTACCCTCACAGAAGAATCCATTGTTTTGGTTGCGAGGATCTTGTGACTCACCTTTTTGGCCCTAACAGCACATGGTATGTAGAGGACCCTCAGTACGTGTTTGTTAATCAGTGGCATCCCCGTTTTACAGATTAGAAAACTGAGGATGGCATAGTGAGTGACAAGCCCCAAATCACCGTTCAGATTTCTGCTTCAGCCGATACCTCTCCTGCCTCACTAAGTTAGTCACTGGGGGACCCTTTGCCGTAGCTGTGGGCCCGCTGCTGGTTCCCTGGGGTCTCCTGGCCACAGGGGCATCTTCACTGTTATTTCTACTCTGATCAGCATTATCTAATGTCTGAGTAAATGCAAGAGAGGGAGCGGGGGTCCTGGACAGGGATGCAAACCTCAGGGCCTGCAGAGGAAATGGAGTGCCCTGCCCTGGAGCACAGGCAGCTGCCGGACACTCGTGCTGATGCGCAGACGCGGCTGCACGAGACAGAACTATAGCTTTTTGTCTTTTTGTAATGTTAGAATACAAGGTGTAGCTAATAGGAAAATATAAAAAGTCTCACATTACCCGGATTTTTAGCACTTGAAAAGATAAAAATGTAATCAAGCTATCTTGATCCTAAATTTATAATCTCTTAAGAGATGGAGAGAAAAGGGGTGAATTATCTCTTAAGTCACAGAGAGCAAGTTGGGATGAATATCGTTCCAGAATCATAATTTTTATAGAAAGGGAATAAGCTCGGACTCCTCACTTTATGAGCTGGGGACCTTACCAGTGTAATCAAGGGGTAGTGCAGCTTACAGAAGAGAAGTGACGTGGAGCCACGAGGCTCAGCTCCAGACCACTGCTGTTCGGTAGAACTTTCTGCAGTGATGAAAGTGCTCTGTATCTATGCTGTCCGGGAGGTGGCCACTGTCCACACGTGGCTGCTGAGTACTTGAAATGTGGCGAGTGCAACTGAGGAACTGAATTTTAAATTTTGTTTCATTTCAATTAATTTGAATTTAAATAGCTACATGGTTAGTGGCTACAGTATTGCACAGCACAGCTCTAGACCAAGATCTGCTATTAGCTTCTGTAATCTTCAAGTCACTTCCTTCCCCTGGGCTTCACTCTTGTAGTGCCCAGTGTGCGCTCCGGAGCCTACAGTCTGCACCTGACCACCCGTGGTAGAGAGCAGGAATTCCCGTCTATCTGGTTGATGGCCATGTCTCAGCACCTAGAGCAGTGTCTGGCACACAGTAGGTACTCAGTAACAAAAGGATGGCCAAATGAATCAAAATGGTCCATAGTCCTGTGTTGATGGTACTGTGGCTAGAACCATTCTGGCCCTGGTGACCTTCTGGTGTCATATTGAGAGAAGGACGAGCCCACAGAGGTGGGGACAGAGCAAGGCACTCGACATTCCCCTGCCCGATCCTCACTCTGCTCTCTACTTGCATCGGATGCTGACTACTTTGATGAACTTCTCTGTCTGGAGTTTGTTCTAGTGGAAAATTACCTTTGCTTCCTTGAACTTCGAAAAATTTAATTATAGGAACACAAACATTTTTCAAATGCTCTATGAGTAATATTAAAGTATATTCAAGGCATAGGATAAATATGAGATGTCACTAAGCCCTTTTTTAATAGACAGGCATCTCTCCTTTATAAATTTTCAATTTGTGAATTGAAGTGAGAAATGCTCTGTACTTAGTGTTATTCCCTTACTGTTGAGTTATTTACAAAAGGCAGCTGTGGTGAATTATTTTACTGAGCTTCCTGGAGAAGAAAAACCATTTGTTGGACTCTTTTGTGCGTTTCTCTTAATTCTGCTAGTTTCTCTGAATTTAGCAGGCTGGTATTTAGGGCCAGCAGACCTGAACAAGAGCACATCCACGTTCTCTTGGATAACCGGTAGTAAAACTGAGCTCTTCTTTCTCAGTGCGACACACTCTGGAGATGTCAGGATGTACAGAGCAAGTCCGTGTGCAGTATGTGGAGAAGCCATTGGGGGCCACCGTTTCTGAGACGAGGCTCAGAGGCTCTTCCGTGGCCAGTTCCATGGCCAGCGAACCGAGGAGCAGGAGCAGCTCGCTCAACTCCACCGACAGCAGCTCTGGGCTCCAGGCAGCCCCGGAGCTGAGCAAGGGCAGCCAGCCCACCTCGCAGAGATTCAGTGTGATCAGCTCGGAAGACTTTGACCAGGAGCTCATTGTGAAGCCTCTCAAAGTGAAAAAGAAGAGGAGGAAGAAGAAGACAGGTACCATCTACAGCAAAGCACCACTGATTCCTTCTGCTCACGTTGGGGCAGTTTTACCAAACTCTTTGGGAATGCTGCTTCTCACTAAATGACCGCTTGCCCGTTCATTGAAAAGCAGAGAAGGTCTTCAGAAAGCGAATGTATTCCTTCTGCAGGGGAGTTTTACTGTGAAATATTTTATACGTTATACATGCACATGTAAAGCATCTTTGTAGGGTTTAAATAATAATATAACATACACTTGTGTACTTACTGCCCTGCTTAATGGATCTGGGTTTTATACCTTTCAGTATATAAATAATAATTTGGGTTTATTCGTGTATACCATTTATTTTCCATACCAGATTTTATAAACCTGGATGGAAAGTCATAGAAATAGATTTACACTGGTATCTAGATGGATCATGAGATTTAACATTGATTTTTTTAACTTTTTACTCCTTGGTGCCTATTAAGCTTCTCTAGCTAAAGATCACTGCAATATTGAAAGAATGTTATCAGATTCCTAAGCTTTTTAATAGTTTTAAAAAATTCGTCTGTGATCCATTTGTTACCTTGTTTTTCTTAGTTAACATTTCTTGAGTGAGGCCTCAGAGCCGTTCGGTGTGTATGTGGATTTGCATCCATTAAAAACATCCCTGCATTGGGATAATTTGTACTTAAGAGATTTATTTATTCTTCACTAATTAAAAATCCTTCATTTAACATGTATTTTTTAAGCCAAAATTTTGTTTTTTAATTAATGTCTTCCTCTTTATGTAGACTCATATCTCATTTTAAACATTCTTATTTTAAATTAGAAGGTGGAAGCAGGAGCGCCTGCCACAGTTCCCTTGAGTCGACTCCCTGCTGTGAGTTTCCTGGTGACAGTCCCCAGTCCTTGAACACAGACCTGCTGTCCATGACCTCAAGTTTGGGCAGCATCGTGGATCGGTTAAGCACAGAGTCTCCCGACCACGAGAGCAACCTCATTGGAGAGGTGAATGGTGTCCTGCAGGGAAATAATGACCCTGAAGCATTTAGTGTCCTGGAGGTGCCTGAACCAGTCCCTGACTTACTGAATAAAGAAAACGACAGTAGAACTGAAATCCCACAGTGTAACCAAGCAAGCAAGACGAAGTTGCACAATGGAGTGTTGAGTTCACCCTTGCAAGCGAGGGAAGACGTGGAAGGTAGTGATGTCATAGAACTCGAAGAGGATCCTTGTCCTGTGGATGATGGACTGAATAGCAGACAGTCACCCTGCCAAGAACAGGCCAGCTCTGCTGAGGCCCAGGAGGTGGGAGGCATGGAGCCTGATGACCCCCAAAGCACTTTCTCTGAAGCCCCCTTCTTAGACTCACTCCCAGTGCCTTCCAGCCTCAGCTGGGCCCCCAGTGCTGAGCAGTGGCTGCTGGGAACCAGAGCTGATGAAGGCAGCCCTGAGGAGCTCAGCAAAGAGCAGGGCTTCCTAACGCACACGGACGCCCCTGACCACCTCGGCTCAAATCTCTGGCATGCTGTCACTGATGATGACACAGGCCAGAAAGCCATGGCCACTTCCGAATGTGACTTGGGGGATGTGGGGGGACGACCGACTCCCCCTGTCTCTACCCTGGCGGCCAGCACCCACGAGCATCCCCTCGAGCAGCCCTCCCGGGACCAGGTGCTGACGTCCAGTGACGATGAGGACATCTATGCGCATGGGCTGCCCTCTTCATGCTCGGAGACGAGCGTGACAGAGCTCGGAGGTAGTCGCTCCCTGCAGGACCTGAGCCAGCCAGGCACAGATGACACCGGGTTACTAAAGTCAGATCAGGTATGCGGCTTCTTTCTTGAGGGAAATCATTGGCAAACTGATTATTTTGCTTTTTATGGAAAGAAATTACGTTCCTACTGTGAAACCTGTAGGCCATATGTTTTGAAGTCTGGGTTTGGGGGTGATTTCTGGCACAGGGACCTTGAATGGCTTGGACTCCTGCTGACCTGTCATCCCCTGCTCAGTAACCCACTTTACCAACAAAAGTAGCATCTCGCTGTTTATTCTGACCTAGCAAGGCCGGCCCAGCACAGGCAGTTAGTGTTAGTCGTCTCAGAGAAGGGCTGAATTGGTCTGGGGACCATTCAGAAAACCAGTGGGCAGAGGACCGTCCACTCATGGAGAGGAGAAGGCTCTGAGCTGGTGGGACTTAGGGACTCTCCTACCCTCCTCCTCAGACAGGCATCTCTGAGGAACTGGCAGCAAGAAACTGGCCGTTTCCAGACTGCTGTCTCCTTGGCTCCAAACAGCGGCACCCAGGCTCCCCTCTAGGCTGTGTAGAAACCAGGTTTGGGGTGTTCAGTGTCCTGTGGGTCCACCCAGCCCGTGCAATTGAGATGGTTATTAACTGTTCTTGGTCATTTTCTATAAAGTGATTTTTAAAAAGTATTTGCTTTCCTTAGCAAGTAATTATTAGATATATTGGTTTCAAGACTAACCGTGTATTGTAACTTTTCCTACTAAGTAGATGTGAGGTGGGGATTGTGAATGTGAACTTACAGCCACGTGTGCTTTCCCCAAGTGTACCACTGAGTTGTCTCAGTGCTAATAATGGGTGACATTTGGGCAGGTCTCCCCGTGTGCCAGGCACCGTGCTAAGCACTTTACAAGTTTAACTCATGTACTTCTCTAAAAAGAAAACAAGCCATGAAAAAGGTCCTGTTGGGGTCTCCGTTTTACAGAGGAGGAGATTGAGACTCAGACAGTTAAATGGCTTGCACAGGTCACATAGCAAGTGAAGGGCAAGGCTGGCCCCAGGACCCTCCCCACGACCTCTGTGCTGTCCTGCCTCAAAAGTGAAATGTACTCCTTACTTGTTTTGAGACAAAATGCCAAAAGCTTAGACCCTTCACTCGGTCTTTGCTGCATCCATCCTTTCTTGAGTACCTTCGGCTGCCAGGCTCTGTGTTTGGTGCTGGGGATACCACAGTGCACGTGACAGCCAGTCGTGGATCTTAGAGTCTCGGGGCAGCCAGACACGTGTGAGATCATCTCGGTTGAGTGAGACTCTGGCGATGGTGATGAGCAAAGTGCAGGACTGTAGGAGCCACAGCAGGGTGCCCGCCTGGTGACGGCATCAGCTGGGCAAGCCGCGTCTGGAGTGGGCTATTGGGATTCTAGGCCAGAGCTTTAGAGGAGCCCTGCGCCAGGTGAGACGGAACCCGGCACTTTGAGGGCCTCTCCCCACCTTCACGTTCCCCCCTCATCCCCCTCCAGATAGCTAGAAAACCAAGAAATTTGGTGGGGTTTTCAGGGGGTTGATAAGGCTTGTCATGGTGAACAGGGCAAGATTAAGAAGGGGTGGGCCCCATTCTCTTTGAAGCACTTCGCTCCATATGTGGGTAATTGTGCAAATACATTGATTGCTTTTGCAGTTTTAGAAAACTGTTAAAGTACAAAGACTTTATTTAGCTTTGATTTTTTTTTTTAAAGAATCCTAGCAACTCAACCTTAGTCTACAAAGTTCAGTCAGGCAGAGCATCTTGGCCACATTTCCATCAGCCACATGATGTGCCACGTGTCCGATGATTGGAAAAGAGCTTGAAAAAATCTGTGAAAAAACGATAGTGGTAGTGCTGCTTCCTAATCTCTAATGCTTAGATGTGCAAAACGTCGATTTGCATGCACGTGTTCAGGAACACACCTCTTTGTGTAAAGTGAGGTATACCTGTGGAATAAAACCAGATCCTGTTAACGTAAGCACTTTGTTAGGAAGGATGTTGTAATATGACCAGGTGTTATCCAGCGCTGTTATGGGGTTTTTGTAGAACAGCTTCCATTTCAGAATGCTTCTATTGAAGCATGTCCAGAGATAGTGGAGGCCGGTTTCTGTGTGGCTTCTCCGAGATCCTTTCAGCTCTATGATATTAATGATCTCCTGCACCCTCTTCTTGTTGACAGCAGTACGACAAATGCAGCTGTGTCCCCTGCCACCGAACTCACCAGGCTCTGTCCTTGTTAGTTTGCAGAAAGCTGGATGGGCTACTCTGGCCCCGGCTATGGCATACTCAGCCTGGCGGTCTCCGAGAAGTACATTTGGTGCCTGGACTACAAAGGTGGCCTGTTCTGCAGTGCGCTGCCCGGCGCTGGCCTGCGCTGGCAGAAGTTTGAAGATGCCGTCCAGCAGGTGGCAGTCTCGCCTTCAGGTTCGCCTCCCCGGCTCCCTGCTTCCTGCCCTGAGGTGTAGACGGTTTAGCGCACAGCAACCCTGCAACAACTCCAGTCTGTTCAACAGACTTGCCATTTCTGGCAGGTTTGAGAGGCAAAGAACTTGAATTACTTCAGTTGACATCAATTAATAAATAGTGTAAATGGATGTTCAGTTTGAGTTTTTGGTTTTTTATTAATTACAGTGGTAACACATGAAGATATTTTTGTAAGCTATACAAATAGCTTGAATTTTGAGGGTTTTTGTTTTTGAGATATTAACGTACATTATATATACATATTATATATATAACATAACATATATATTATATATAACATAACGTTATAAGTTATCCTTATAAAATAAAATGTGTTTCTTTTTGTTTTTTGTGAGGAGATCAGCCCTGAGCTAACATCTGCCAATCCTCCTCTTTTTTTTTGCCGAGGAAGACTGGCCCTGGGCTAACATCCATGCCCGTCTTCCTCCACTTTATATGGGACGCCGCCACAGCATGGCTTGCCAAGCAGTGCATCAGTGCGCGCCCGGGATCCGAACTGGCGAACCCCGGGCCGCTGCAGCGGAGCACGCGCACTTAACCGCTTGTGCCACCCGCCCGGCCCCTAAAATGTGTTTCTATATTTCTTAGTGTTGCTTTAAAGCAACTGAGTTAACAAAGGCCCATGGATATGATGGATATGTTCAGATTATTTGGTTCCTTTTTAGAAATTATTTTTTAATGAGCTATGTATATGCTTTGGGTGAATAATCTACTCCCTGACTGTAAAAAGAAAATGCATTCATTCTTTCATGCCATGATTAGGCCATTTTTAGTGAATTGGAGGAGATGTTTCTTTAATGAGGTTCTGCTAGGCTGAAATACCTCCTTTATCTGCACGGGATCATTTGCTTGTCTGTTTTGTCATACTCTTGGCCACTTCTCCTATTGGGAGGCGTGGGTAGGTAGAACGGAAGAATTTATGTGTTTTTGCCTTGTAGTAACTGGTTTGTTGTTAGGACACCGGAATAGAAATCAGACAAAACTGCATCTGTGACCTCAGCCTGGTCCTCTGTGGCTGCTGTGCTTTGAGGTGGCTTTCCCTCAGCTCTCCCTGGTCTTCGTCACTATTTAAAACACTAGTTTGTTCAGAGGTGCTTTGTTTTATCTCTTTGCTTGTTTGAAAAATATTTTTCCTTAGCAGCTGACTGAGATAATCTCTTTCATTAGCTGACATTGTATAATTGTGCATTTTAGTTCTTATTTTCTGCCATTTACCTTTGGGTTCATCTCCCCGGCCATTTAGAAACTTTGATTCTTTCCTGATTATATTAATTCCTTTGTGTTTCCCAACCAGTCAGTCCCTTGTTGCTCTGATAGAACTCTGACTCCACCAGATTGGTGTTCTCGGCTGAGATGTCCTTCAGGGCCCGCGTGTTCAGCGGGCGCCAGAGCCCTTGTGCCCCGGGGCATTCAGGGTGGGCCTCGGCTTAGCTGTCCATCTTGCTTTTCCTTTCTGACTTCAGCTCCTCATGCAGACACCCTAGTCCAGCCCATCTGTGCTCTAGGTGATTCTCTGGTGGTTTCTTACACTTGGCTGCCTGGCCTGTGCCACACCCTCCATCTGCATAGAGTGCCTTCCTGTCACCCTTCCTCCTTCCCTCCCCTTCTTCATCTCTATTTATCAGAATCCCTTGCTCAGTGAAAAAAGGACAGCCTAGATCAAATGCTTCCTTTTCATGCATCTTATCCATTTAGCTGGTCCAGAAGGGACCCCTCCCTTTGAGTCACTGTAGGACTTTTCAGCCTCTCTTAGGACACTAATTGTGCCTCATGATGTTAATTTGGGTGCTCATCTCGGCAGACCTAACAGAGTCGGCACTACTATTCCCTGTAATGAGCGCCTGTGATGTGTCCAGCTCTGAGTGCTGTGTCCTCACTTCCAGTCTCTCTAACAGCCCTGTAAGGTAGAGATGGTCCCCATTTCATGGATGAGGAAAGGAGGCTTGGAGATGTTAAGTGACATGACGCCTGCAGCCACACAGCTGGTCGGTGGTGGCCGAGGGTTCAGACCTCACTGCTGCAGGCTCTTTCCCCAGTTGGGTTAGAAGCAAAGGTTGAGGGTGCTTTAGAAATCTCTCTTCCCCACAGCACCCAGAATGAAGTTTTTTGTGTAACTAATTCTCAATATTTGTTAGACAGTGAATAGAATTTATTTCCACAGGAGCCCTCCTCTGGAAGATTGAACAGAAATCTAACCGAGCTTTCGCGTGTGGAAAAGTGACCATCAAGGGGAGGCGGCACTGGTACGAAGCTCTGCCGCAGGCAGTGTTTGTGGCCCTGAGCGATGACACGGCCTGGATCATCAGGACAAATGGAGACCTGTACCTGCAGACAGGTAACTGAAGGTGGTGCTCAGGTGCCGCCGGTTCTCATATAATTGCTTCTCACTGTCCCTTGCTTTGTTAGTGACACTCTTAGAACAATCATAATGAGTAAGAGGGTAAAAATCAATTTAAATTAAAACACTTCGGGAAAGAGAATATTTGCCTTTGGAACATATTAGCAGTTTCCTGCTACTGACTCAAAATCAAGCCAGGACAAATTTAGGGCAAGAATTAATAGGATTATTTAGTGAGATACAGAATCTTAGTCTCCTTATGGCTAACATTGCACATCATTTATCCTGCAATATCAGATCTCAAGAGGAAAGAATAACAGAGAAATGGCATTAGAATCATTTTTCCCTTTGGCTTATGGCTGGATTTTTTCAGCCAGGTCAAAGCCCTGCCTCTGTACACTTATTTACATGTGGGTCAGTAAAAAACAACGAGAAATAATTTGCTCTAAATAGCAGTTCGCCTTGTCCTAGGAAACTGTCCTGAGGGGAACCTTTAGCTGCTGGAAGAGACACAGTGGGACTTGTTTATTAAAAATAAACTGTAATGAGAGTCACTGTTTATGTACTGTCAGCAAAATGGAATATGAGTTTCCAAAAGCAATGTGATTTATCAGTATCTGGAAGGATCATTGGGCAGGAGCTCTTTTTTGGTTGTCAAGAGGCCGTATTGGATTTATGTAAAGATCAATCTTCTAACCATTTAATATTGCTGATTCCAAGAGAATGTTTTAATCTCTCTTATGAACTGTCCACCAGGGATGGTTCTCTGAGATTGAAAGCCCATGCACATCTGGCTCTCTCTCAGATGTGGGAGAGCTGGCACATCCTGGAAGCTCCTGCCTGGGCCCTGGGGGGCAGCCTTGCCAGCTTCTGGGTCATGTGCCAGCTCTGGTCTCTCCAGCCCAGTTCCTGTGTCTCCCTTCAAGTGAAAATAGCCCTGGAAAGGTGTCTGCACACCCATCTTCCAGGGGCATTGGAGTCTTGTTCCTGGTGGGGAAACAGGGTTCCTGACCTGGGGGTGAATAGTGGGTGAGCTCTTGACCCCTAGTGCCTTAGGAATCACCAGGGCAGTGGTTTCAGATGAGCCTGATCCCTCCTAGACCTCCTTAGAGGGTCTGGGGTTGGCCTGAGGGTTTGTCATGTAAGAAGTCACACAGATGGTTCCCACCTAATTGAGTGCAAGAAAATACAACCCACGGACTGTGCTACCGTAGGGTGATTTTTGTGATTAGCCGGGGAGCACATTTGAGTATGAGACCTAATTGTAGTCTGAGGCTGCTGAATGTGGGGTTTTAGCTAACAGCTGTTCTGCCAGCTCCCCTGGGAGTGGCCTTCAAGTTCATTAGACAGAGGCTGCAAGCAGGGAAAGAGCCCTGGACAGGGAGTTTGGAACAGCCTTGCTGGACCTCACCTTTCATCTCGGTGAGACCTGGACCTCACCTTTCATCTAGGAGATTCAGAATTTTCATTTTAGTGGTGGAACCCACCCCACTACCAGGTAAAAGCCAGGAGAGGGGAGCTGCTTTGTTGCAGCTCCTCTGCAGAGGATGGCTGGACGCCTCAGATCCCTGCCGGCCCCAGTGGCTGCTGAGCCCCCCTCTGCTCACTAGCAGGCTCTGAGGGGCACAGCCATACAGCACGGAAGGGCATCTCTGGCTGCGCTTGGCCTGGGCCCTCTTGGCTAAGGGTCTGGTTGCTCTCCTGCTCTGGGCTTTCAGAACGTCTCAAGCTTCTTTGGGACACCAGAGAATTCTGAATTCTTATTCCTTCAGTTTTCAAAGAGTATCTGAAAACACTTCAGATAGATGTTATATTTAAGCACAATTTAACCGTTTTATGTTGACTAAAACTTAAAAAGAAAAAGCACATATTACAAAAGAATATAGCAAAATAGCAAAAAAGAAAAATAAGCAAACAACAGAATAAAAATGAGGTGTGAAATCCTGATTGTGTGTCTTTGGGGGCTTCCTGTCTGTCTCCCTGGCAGGTCTCAGCGTGGATCGCCCCTGTGCCAGAGCTGTGAAAGTTGACTGTCCTTACCCACTGTCCCAGGTCACAGCCCGAAACAGCGTGGTGTGGGCCCTGACGGAACAGAGAGCCCTCCTGTACCGGGAGGGCGTGAGCAGCTTCTGTCCGGAAGGGGAGCAGTGGAAATGTGACATCGTCAGGTACCAGCAGGGAGGAGCAGAGACATCTTTGGCATCTTGTTTGTCCCACCCTCCATTCTTTGTCACCTTGACTCCGGTTAAGGCACCCTTGTGAGCCTTTCCTGGGCAGAGCTGGTCCCCTGAGGGTTCCCATGGTAATAGTGTTCTCTGGAATTGTCAGAGCCAGTTTCACAGCCTGACCGTGGAGATGCCCTAGCCTACCTGTGACCAGCAGACTGGACGTTGGCTTAGAGCTCAGTTATTAAAAATGCTGCTGCCCTCTTGTGTAACCTCGAGCATTATACGATCACGAGTCTCTCATAACAGTCTCTATTCAGAACTGCCCAGTGTCAGGTAGTTTCTGTTTAGAATCTCAGATGGTTTAGGGCCAAATATTTTTCTTTATTATCATCCTAGTCAATTGAAATTGATCTCTGAATTGTAATTTATTTGGGTTACTTTTCTACTATTCAAAATTTTAATTACAGAGTTACTATCAAATCATTTTGCTAATGTGAAATTATTAATAGTCCTTAGGAAAATTAGATTAGGATATTCTTGGTTTGAATTTAGCAGCCCAGTAAACTTGAGCAAGTACCTATTGTGAGCTAGAACTGAGCTGGGCTGGGTGTGCAAAGATGACTGAGCCACAGCCCTGCCCTCACAGAGCTCCCGGTCTGGTGGAGCCACGTAAACTGGCCAAGGCCAGTTAGTGTAGATGGCCCTAAACCAGAGAGTGGAGCACGCAGCACTGAGGGCCCCTCAGCGCCACCTACAGAGGTCAGGAAGGCGCCATGCAGAGTGGACCCATAGCTGAGCCTTGAAGCTGACAAGGACTTCACCAGACAGGTGGGAGGGAGAAGGGCATTGCCCACAGAGAGCACAGCGTCTGCCCAGCTGCAGCTGCCCAACACAGTCTGGCACATGGAGGCCATTTCCATTGCTCAGTGGGTGAAGGACGAAGAGGGGAGAGGGAGGTAGGTACTCAGGGCCTTGAATTCCATATGTGCCTACTCACTTTTTTCTTTCTCTATAATTCTGTGTCTTCAATATGTCTTTCAGAAGCTACCACACGTTTGAACAATATATATTGCACAGTAATTTAACTCAAAACTCAAGCTTCTTTCTCTGGAACTTGTGCGTAGTGTGTGTCGTCTCTTCTCCCAGGCCAAACCCACCCAGGAGACACTTGATCCTGGCAATCTTAGACACGCTGGGTGCTTTGATTGAGTGCTGACTCCCATGTTCTCTTCCTTGTTTTCAGTGAAAGGCAAGCTTTAGAACCTGTCTGTATAACTCTCGGGGACCAGCAGACCCTGTGGGCCCTGGACATCCGAGGAAACCTGTGGTTCAGAACTGGCATCGTTTCCAAGAAGCCCCAAGGAGATGATGACCATTGGTGGCAAGTAGGTGTTCAGCTCCAGGGCTGCGTGCCAGGGGGTCTCCCTGAGCTGGGGTTGTGCTCCCCCTTTATAGCCCTTCTGTCTTCCTTAAAGAGATTAGGGAGGGGCCAGCCCTGTGGCCGAGTGGTTCAAGTTCCATGCACTCTGCTTTGGTGGCCCGGGTTCGCAGGTTTGGATCCTGGGCATGGACCTACATCACTCACGAGCCATGCTATGGTAGCATCCCACAAAAAAAAAAAGAGGAAGATTGGCACAGATGTTAGCTCATAGCTAACCTTCCTCAAGTAAAAAAAAAAAAACAGGAAGATTGGCAAGAGATGTTAGTGCAGGGTGAATCTTCCTCAGCAAAAAAATAAATAAATAAAATGAAGGAAAATGAAAAAGAGAGATTGGGGAGATTGGATTAAATTAACAGTATTCACTTGTACTGTTTGATAAATTAGACTTCACTATATTTGAGTACATTAGAAACATCAAGGGCTTTTCATCATAGGAAGTAACTTGTAAAACTCTCTCTGCTTAAATATGCAGGCTCTGTTTATTTTATTTTTTTTTATTTTGGTGTTATTTAGAAATTTATCATTATATGCTAAATAAACCCAGTGATATCCGTTTGAAGACCTAGGTAATAATGACGTTTAATTCTGAACAAATGTGCTAAGAAAAGAGACTAGACAATACGTTTGAAAAACCCAACCTACAATTAAAATTCATCCCTCTCTGCTTGTTCCAGAGGCCTCTCAGTAAATGGTATTTCAACAAAGAAAGGAGGATTTTCCCCATGCTCCCAGAAAAGGAAACACTTTGAGATATAGGAGGGTACCATCAAGCTAATTATTCGTGACTTGGTCCCAGTATGGCCTAGAATGTGTTTTCAAAGGGGTGTCTACTTCCCCCTCTTTGGTACTGTTCAATGTGAATGTAGCTCCCACAGTCCCTCACTGTGGTGGTGAGGTTGTAGACACTCAGCGGCTGTGAATAGATGGCATCCCTTCAGGATCACGTCTCCTTTGGTTCAGGTTTTATTGTTGCCTCAGGCTTGCCTTGTTGAAGGCGGGTCTTCCATTGGCTGCTCTTAGGTCTTTCAGATGAGAATGTGGAAAACTAAGTTGCGTTTGTTCTTTGATGAATATGTATGTGTGTACACATGCCTCTAATTTGATATGCCAGATGCTATTTGAAAAGTTGTAAAGATGCTTTTAGGGGCCAGCTTGGTGGAGTAGTGGTTAAGTTCACACACTCCACTTCAGTGGCCCGTGGTTCGCAGGTTTGGATCCTGGGCATGGACCTACACACCGCTCATCAAGCCATGCTATGGCGTTGTCCCACAAACAAAATAGAGGAAGATTGGCAGGATGTTAGCTCAGGGCCAATCTTCCTCACCAAAAAAAAGAGCAGTTATACAGATGATTTTAGAGTACCTTCTCTGTTCTTTTAGCCATATTCTTTGGTTTTATATACATCCACACATTCATGTATGTATATGTACTAAATTCTGTTTTTAAGTAGCCTAAGGAAAACTAGTTATCATTTTATCATAATATTCAGAACATTATCTCTAGAGAAGTTTAATTTGACAGAATCATCATTGAGGTATTTGGAAGCAGAGTTATTTTAATTACTGTAACACTGATTTCTTTGTAGTGCTAGAGCCAGCATTGTGTTTGGCTGCTAAACCTTTTTTTTTCTTTTTTTAATTTGCATCCTGCTTATCTGCAAATCTTGGGTGCTGGGTCTGAGTCTGTCATAGACTTTCTGTGTGGCCTTGGTGTTGTGCACACCCCGAGGAAGGGCAGAGCTCCCTGAGCCAGCATACCGCAGCCTGCGTGTGAGTTCCCGGAGCTCCCTGCCCAGCGCTCTGTGGGCTCTGATAGAGACACCCAGCCAGGCTGGTGGAGCGCTCACTGAGCCTGAGAGACGGGCTCTGGGCTCCACAGCAGGGCCTCGGGGTCCTGACGTGGTAAAACCATTCGCTTACGCTGCAGGTTGGGCAGCAGCTCACAGTCAGTGCAAGTCCTTTCATGGAGAAGAAAGGGCAGTATTTGTACACATGATAAAATACTGATTTTTACCATAGTTTTCTTTTTGTTTCTTATAAATTAAGTTCCCTATAATAAATGATGTCACTTTCACTCGGCATTTCATTGTGCATGGCCCGGGAACATGGCGTGCAGGAAGCTAGCCTAGGTGTAGGGCAGTGATGTTCTCTGTAACCACACCCAACAGGGCAGAAGTATGCGTGAAAGTCTGCGGGATCAGGTTCTGACCCATCTGAGAGAGCACTTTCTAACAACCAGAGCTGCCCAACAAGGGAGAGGTTTTCCTCGAGGGAGGCATCCTGGAGAAAAGTCTCTTTCAGGAGTGTTAGAGAAGTGGTTCGTGCATCGAGCCAGGGTGCATTCTGCATGTCCAGGGCAGTCTTGCTTTTGCTATTGGCCTGGCACAATTAGTAACAGTTCCGGTTTAGATCATAAATTACTTCAACACCCTACTTAGAATACCTTTTTAACCCATATTATGATTCTAAATATTGTACGCTGTTGTCCATTGGAAATACCTAAATTTATTTATTCAGTTTTTTCCCCCCAAAGCCCCAGTAGATAGTTGTATGTCACAGGTTCACATCTTTCTAGTTGCTGTACGTGGGACTCGGCCTCACGTTGGACGGAGAAGTGGTGCCTCGGGGCGCTCCCGGGATCCGAACCCGGGCCGCCAGCATCAGAGCGCGCGCACTTAACCGCTAAGCCACGGAGCCGGCCCTG